GCCTATTTTCCATGAAGGATTAACGTATGACATCTATCATTTTGAAGTTTTATGGGACAAGAACCCTATTTCAACCAAATTTTTCATTATTATCCATGGTTATACTTTGTTTTGGTTATCCCCAATAATGGTTCCTCTACCTCCTCTAAAATTATCACCCCTTGCTCAACTGGCAAATCGTAGTAAAAGAGAAAGACAACTTTTTTATGTGTTATTTTGATATGTAAGATTTAGTCTCAGATTTGTATTTTTCTCTTTCCTCCATTTTCATCCTTTTTTTAATTTTTAGACATAGCTAGTATCATTGGAGGAATTAGTCGTCTTGACAGTTACGTGTAGGATGGTTTCAAACAATGGTCTTTCTCATTTCATCTAAGGATGCACGATCTGTTCATTTTCCCACTGTTCAAGGATTATTTTGTTCATTTTCTTGTTATTCTAGTATTTTCCTTTTCTCATGCTATCTATTTTATATTGGTTTCTTCCCTGTAGGGGTAATCATTTGAATTGTAAAATTGAAGATGGGCCTGTGTGGCATGCTTTGGTGACTACATCTTATGAACAGAGAAGAAAGACTTAGTTACTATCATTGAGCTTGCCTTGATGGATTGGAATAGAGGTTAAAATGACTTCTCTATACTTGCATGCGTTGTTTCTAATTTATCCTTAGATATTCTGATGACATTTTATTTCTTTTCTTGTAAACGATAAGGTCATCAAAAATTATTTCTACACAACCAGGGTATTGTTCAATGATGATTCTAAAGTTGTTCGATATTTCAAGAATTGTTTGAAGTGGCAGTGTGAGCTGATTGATCCTAACATGCCTTCCACCTCAAGGATTGAACATTAGATTGTTTAGATCTTATTTTCCCTTTAATCTCAATAGCTTTCCTTTGTTCCTTTCCTAATTAACTTTGAATTTCAATGGTTTTTGTTTGCTTGTATTAGACTACTTTCCTTTGTTCCCATCTTCATTATGCTTCTAATTATTTGCCATTAAATTTTAAATACATGTGTTCACACAATCTGTTAATGTTATACTTTGTTCATGGCCTTTAAAATTGTCTTTTAAAATAAAATTATCCCAACACAACAATGATATTAAAAGTAATCTTTATATTGTTCCACTGGTGAACTCCAAACATCATGTCAAGTAAAAACTACCATGATATTACTATGGTTACACTATTATCATTGCTCACATTTCAAATTCAATAACAAACTCTTAAGAGAATTTTTATTCTCATGACTCAAACTTGAGAGAGAATCTATTTTGAGTAAAAATATCTCCATTTTAAATACAAGAAAATCAAAGATTAAGAAACTAGTAAGAGTTTCATTCCAAAACATATGTGCTAACCCTATTGCTTTCTCCTATTATTTTCTCATTCAAATCAATTGTTTTAAAAAATGTATCATCGTCAACTTGGGTTCATGGTTATTTGCCTTTCATAAGCATCATGATTTGCAACTTTAACTAAAACTCCCTTAATCAAGTTGAATTTCATCAACATTACCATCTCAAGTATTAAACCCTTAATCTCCACTTCTAAATTGCCTAACATTTACTCCACAAGAATTTGAGCCTATTCCTTAGGTTTATTAATTACCTTTAGTCCCCAATAACATTAGTGAACTATTAAATTCCCATTGATGGCATTACAATCTTTCAACCACTTATAATAAATGAGATTTTTGGATGTTAATGATGCTCAACAACCCAAGACACCAAAAATTCACTATACTATGTTTAGATACTCTAATTTACTTCTATTAACTTCATTTAAGTCAATAAATTCGGACTCATAACTCATATAGACTGAAAATTCACTTCCACTATCAAACCCTAACTATAAACTCATAAATGTGGAAGAAATAGGGAGATTAATGAGTGTGATACTTACCTTGGGTGTTTGTATCCTCTAAAATACTCACAACATTGTTCGCAAGCAAACACTAGCAAAGCTTTGTGTGTCTCTTCTATTCTCTCTTTTCTTTCTCTTTGTTTTTTGCATTAGTTCGCATATTAATTTTATAGATTTCCCACCGTGCACTACGACGCATGTCACCACGTGTCGTGGCATGTGGTATAAAGAAGGAAGTTCTCGCCTGATGGCCCCACGCTGCAACATGTGGCACAGAGGCTGTTTAGCTTGTTTTTCTCTACTTTTTGATCCCTAAGTGACCCAATTTCAATCTGGACCTAAATTATATCTAAAATTCCAACTAAAAACACTTATTATTCTCCTTTGACAACACACCATATCAACTTACTTAATTATCCTTTGACAACACACTAGAAAATTGTTTATTAAATTGAGATGTTACAATTCTCCTCTCCTTTTAAGAATTTTACCCCCAAAATTCGCTTAATCTAGTTAAATTAGTAAATCATACCTCATTGAAATAAGTAAGGGTACTGCTATTTCATCTTCTCCTCAATTTCCCACATAGCATTACCAGAAGTCATCCCTTTCTATATGACTTTCACCAGTTAAGTTGTCTAGTTTCTCAGCTATTTCTCCTTACCATCAACAATTTTCTCTAGCTCAACTTGATATGTTAAATTCTCACGCAACTCCACATCCTCAAGCTCACTCACATGTAAAGGGTCAGATTGATATTTCTTCAATTGAGACACGTGAAATACACCATGTACACCTAACAGATGAGGAGGTAAGGTAATCCGATATGTCAAAGGCCCAATTCGCTCAAGAATTTTGAATGGCCCAATAAACTTGGGGTCAACTTCTTTACATAAATAGACTTCCTAATTCCAGTCATAGGTGTGACTTTCAGAAATACATGGTCTTCTACCATAAACTCTAACAGTCTCCTCCTCTTATCTGTATAGCTCTTCTGTCAACTCTGAACAGTCAACAACTTCTAATGGATAGTCTCAATTTTCTCAGTGGTGATCTACTAAATCAGGACCTATTATGCTTCACTCACTCAACTCGGTCTAACAAAGTAGCGATCTACACTTCTTGCCATATAAGGCTTTATATGAAGCCATTTGAATACTCGTATGAAAACTGTTGTTATAAGAGAATTCCACCGATAGTAGGTGCTTATCCTAACTGCCTTACCACTCGATGGCACAAGCACATAGCATATCCTCTAGAGCCGGGATGGTCCTCTCGATTTGACCATTTGTCTAAGGGTGATAAGCCATATTGAACTTCAATTTCATACCCATGGCCTCGTGCAGTGCTTTCCAGAAGTTTAATGTGAACCTCAAATTGCAATTTGATACAATCTCTTTTGGCACCCTATGTAATCTCACAATCTCTTGAATATAGACCTCTGCAAGCTTCTCTAGAGTGTAATCAGCTCTAACAGCTAGGAAATAGTCAGACTTAGTCAATCTATCTATAATTACCTAGATAGCGTCATAACTCGCTTGGATACATTGCAATCCCATAACAAAATCCATGGAAACATAGTATCAAGCCACCACTATCGACTCTTCATGTCTTGATACATCTTGGTAGTTTCTAGATGAATAGTGAACTTACTCTGATGAGCTTCACTTAGAATGGTCTCTTGAACCCCTTATCATCGAGTACACATACCCGATCTCTATACACTACCAACCCATCATCATTGAACTAAAAGTCTTTGGTCTTGTTTGCATCAATATCATCTCTAATCCCCAACAGATACTGTTCTTCAAGCTAAGCTTTTCTCAAGTCTTTCCAGAATCATTGGTCATTATTGTCGTATTCAAGTTATACACAGTGAAATCTAGACTATTTTGGTGTTCAGTAGAGAAATCCTCCAGTAGCTTATACTCATGGATCATCAACCACGCATCATGTATGGTCTTGCAACTCAAAGCATTAGCCACTACATTGGCCTTCCTCAAATGGTACTTTAACTTGAAGTTGTAATCTTTTAGGAATTCAATCCACCTTTGCTGTTGCATATTCAACTCCTTCTAGTCACTTAAGTACTTGAGGCTCTTATAGTTACTAAACACCTTGAATTATGAACCATAGAGATAGTGCCTCCATATCTTTAACACAAATACAATCGCTACTAACTCAAGGTCATGAGTTGGATAACTCTCCTCATGCGGTCTCAGCTGTCTCAATGCATAAGCCACAACTCTATCATCTTACATTAGCATACAACCTAGTCCCTTAAGTTATGTATCAGTGTAGACCACATATGATCATTTAGGATCTAGAATAGTCAACATTGACGCTATAGTCAACTTTTCCTTTAGAGTCTGAAATGCCTCTTCACACTTCTCAGTCCAGACAAACGGTTGATCCTTCTTCGTTAGCTTCGTCAAAGCAGAAGTAATCTGAGAGAACCCTTAGATGAATCTCCGATAATAGCTAGCTAAACCCAAGAAACTTCTTATCTCGGTTACCAATGTTTGTCTTTCCTACTATAGTACCATGTCAACTTTATATAGAACCACTGCTATGTCGTTAGCAGAAATGACATGTCCTAAAAATTTCACTTCTCGCAGCCAAAAATCACACTTGCTTAGTTTGGCATACAACTTGTGCTCTTTCAACACTTGCAGCACTATCCTTAGATGCCTTGCATGTTCTTCCTCATCTTTAGAGGAATATATCAGGATGTCATCAATGAAAACTAGTATGAATTTGTCTAAGTAGGGTCTAAAGATCCTGTTCATATAGTCCATGAAGATTTCAGGAGCATATATCAGACCGAAAGGCATTATTAAGAACTCATAGTACCCATATCATGTCCTAAACGAAGTCTTAGGCACATCATTTGCCTTAACTCTCAACTGGTGGTATCCGGATTTTAAATCAATTTTAGAGAAAACTGCAGCTCTGGCAAGTTGGTCAAGTAAGTCATCAATCCGTGGTAATGGATACTTGTTCTTAATTATTACTTTGCTGAGTTTCTTTGTAGTCAATACACAACCTCATACTCCTATCTTTCTTCTTTACAAACAACACAAGCGATCCCTACTGTGATATACTCGGTCGGATGAATCCCTTCTCAAGCAACTATTCTAATTGCTTTTTCAATTCCTCCAATTCTGCAGGAGCCATACGATACAGAACCTTAGAGATTGGCTTGGTGCTGGGTACTAAATGAATCGAGAATTTAATCTCTCTTTCTAGTGGCAATCCTGACATTTTGTTATCAAACATCTTCGGGAACTCATTCACTACACCAATTCTATCAATTCCTCCATCATACATTTCATGTGTAGAACAGTAGATCATAAAAGCCTGACAACCCTTTTTCACTGACTTCTCTACTTGTAGGGCTGATAAGAACTTAGGAGTCTTACAATCCACTATTGATAATGGTTGATAGGTTTAGGGTTAACAGCTGTCGCTATGTAAACTGGTAAGGAAACTGTCTTTCTATTACAGTCGAGTGTCGCACCATTAGCAAACAACCAATCCATCCTTACTATCACATTAATTCCACTTAAAGGTAAGCAGATTAAGTCAATAACAGTAACTCTATCACCAAACTTCAACTCTAGTTTTAAACAAGCCTGATTGGTCCTCACAAGTACACCAGCCAGTGTAGACACATTTATGGAAAACAGCATTTCAAGCACATGCAATTTTAGTCTCTTTGCACAATCATCAGATATAAAAGAGCGTATAGAACTAGAATCAAACAAAGCATCTATCTGGTGATCACAAAGTGAGATTGTACCTCTAATCAGCTTTGATAAAGCCTCAACCTCTTCTCTGGTCATGGCAAAGACTTGCCTTAGGATAGCGGATCTCTGATCAGGAGTAGGTATATTCTCTGAGAAAAACTTGGCTATATGTCCTACCTTGTTGTATTTAAAGAAAACCTAAGACTGCCCTTAATGATGTTTTCCTCATTTATGGCATTATAGAGCTCTAACTGGCATCATAGCAGATGGAGCTGTAGATTCCTGTTAAGATGTCTGATTTTTAACCTTACCTATACTCCTCGGGCATTGCTCCTCTAGTTGGATCCTTTAGATTGAGACCCCTTTTAGAAGTTCTTTTTCTTGCTTCCTCCAGCATTGTACCTCCCAGATATACTCAGGTTAAAACCTGACTTCTTACTCACTCTACCCATAGGGCTTGTATAGGAAGAAAATCTCCCTTGACCATCTCTCTTCTTCTCTTCCACCATTCTACTCCTTCTGGCTATAGCTCTGAACTTATTGCACATAATCTCGAAGGTAGTAATGTCAAAGGTAGCTAATTGCTAGCTAAACTTAGGCCTCATCTTATCAAGAAACTGCTTGGCCTTCTAATACTCATCATCATGATGATTCAGATATGTGGAGTACTTAGATAGCTCATTGAACTTTGCTATAAACTCCTCCTCATTCATATTTCCTTACTGGAGTTCGTGAAATTTCGCCTCTTTCTCTACTTGGAATAAGGCTAGAAAGTAGTGGGCGAAGAACCACCTCTTGAACTTTATCCATGTCAACTATGAGCCATTTACCAGCCTAACACTTTCCTACCATTGCTTTGCTCCATCTTCAAGCATGAAAGAAGCTAAGAAAACCCTCTGCTCAGTCGTACAGGTCATGATTGAGAAAATGGTCTCCAGCCTATTAATCCACTTCTCAATTGTTCTATCCTCCATATAACCCTCAAAGAAAGGAGGATTCAATCTCATGAATCGCTTCAAAGCCCTATCTATAGAGCCTTCAAACTCACTCATCCTAAGCCACCAGACGCATCGGCTTCTTAGGAATACTTTCCTCACAATACTCTTCATCTCTATGTCCATGCACCTCAACGTGCACATCAATTTGGGCTTTCTTTTGGTCAACCCCAACTCTCTCTACAGTCCTGCTGCTCTCCTCAGGTCTCTTTCTGATGATCTCATCATAACCATCCATTCTCCTCTGGATGTCCATCATTATACACCTCAATTCATCTAAGGCATTATTTTTGTTACCCTGTTGAGTTCCTGGTTGTTGCTCTTAGTTCACCAGTTCTTGTTCCAGTCTTTGCACATTTTCTGATGCATTTCCTACGTTTGTAGCTCTTGTTTGCACTATATTCTCCCCTTTTAAAGATGGAAGCAATCCCAAAAAGGAAGAAAGGAGTTAGCACTAGCTCAGTGAGGGAAATAACAAGTACAATAGGATATTGCCAATTCTCTATATATAATGCACAACAAATCTCAACCACAAAGTACATAAACCATAGACCAATTCTCAGAACCAAAGAAACTGATACCAAATTGTAAAATCTCACTCCATTAAACACAATTAATCAATATAATTCATAGTAATTAAAGATTTAACTCAAAAAGGTGATTACCAAGCTTTAGTTTAAATTCAAGGGATCCCAAGTTTTTCAAATAACAATGAGTTCCAAACAATCAAAACCTTTATATTAGAGTCAAAATAAGTTTCGAAAGCATGGGATACCTCAGAGGAGTGAAAGAATTTGAAGATGGCTAAAAAATGAAACATATGCTGTGATACAGGACAATGTGCCGCAGCGTGTTGCTCTTTGTGCCACGTGCTGCGGCTCAAGTGCCATATGCTACGGCTTGTTGCACGAAAAATTAGCAGATTCTGCTATCATTTAACAGCAGAATCAGGAAACTTCTGACGCATCCTGATTCTCCGTCCGACATCCGAATGATATGATCTAGGTATCTATAGAAAGCGCTTTACATAAACTAGCTAATGGCATGGGCTCTACTTCCAAGACAAGTCACACTAGAAAGTTGGAAACCTAAACGTATTTTAACCACTTTTCATAATTTTCACACAAAATAAGTGTCCAAAACCTTCAACATGTGAAAAAAGCCTTTCCTAACGCCTAGACCATATCCAATGGGCCAGGGACTACTAGTCCAACACGTCATAAGCACTAAAATAATAGTGTAACAAAATTTTGCTCCTCAACCCCATTTTACTAAAAATTAGAGGGGGAGGTAAATTGTCATTACTTTACATCCAAATCAATCCACACATGTTCAAATTATCATCTCTACATTTGCACTAGTATTTTGACCCTATAAACATATATATATATATATATATATCTCAACATACACAAATACTCATGGCTCAAAATACAAATCTAACATTTGCAATAACAAAATAGTGCAAGTGTGATGACATGCATCCTAGAATTAGTAAATTATATACTATTACACAAATAAATCTAAACTAGAGGCATATAGTAAGAACATGCTAATTCCTAACCTCCTGAATCTTCTCCCTCTCAGCACCAGAGCTAGAGCCTGAAAAATGTTAAATGAATGAGGTGAGTCTAGCAACTCAATAACTAGGGTAAAACCTACCCTATGTAGTTATATATCAATTATAAAATAAGCACATCCATAAGAAACCAAGTAAGTAAAACATGCTCACACATATTATAATTTGTCACTTATCATTTAATAACATTCTTGTCTCACAAATACTAGGTACATTGTCACCATATTCTTAAATATGTGACATATCCCCTCATTTACACAACTTGCCACAACTTAACGCATGTGACACGTCATATATTTACTTAGGAAATGATAAACTAGCCTTATATTCTCCTTATTTTCTCAGACTGAAATCATGGGCTATAACATTAAATAGGGTTCCGTCCGTGTGACTGGACTACCCAAGCTTACTAATAGTGAGGTGTGACCCAGCTAAAGATCACATGACTCACTCTCAGACCACGGTTTCCCCATTTTTGAATCTCTAAGGTGTCTCATACCCTAGGCTAGTCTCCTTATTGAACTAGTAGAAATATCTAAGTTCTAGTCCCTCGACAAACTATGGAACAGTCCCTCGACAAACTATGGGACAAGGCTATACCCTCGTACACTAGGGGGCAGCTTAAATATGATATGGATTTTCTCTCTACTCCCAACCCCTAGGTGAACTCTCGCCATTGATTATGTCATAACCAATACTCACTCATTTACAACACACCATCACATTCATCTTTCTAAAGACATATGCATGTTTATATTCAAAAACATCTTGATTTGGCATTTGCATTTCCAACCACAATAACCTTATGCACATTAAATTTTCATGCACCCATTGGAACTAACACATACTTTTCACATTGAAAATCAACCCATACATGCCAAATTCACAACTTGAAATCAATTTACAATCAATTAATAGTTAACTACTCAAAGTAGGGTTCTCCCGATTACCTCAAACCTTTGAGAGGTCAAAGGTTTACCTCTCAATCTACTAGCTTTCAAACTTGAATTTTCCAATCTAATAGGTGACCAAGAGCTAAATACTACAATCAACCAAGTTGAATTTCATCAATATTTCCATCTCAAGCATTAAACCCTTAATCTCCACTTTTAAATTTCCTAACATTCACTCCACAAGAATTTGAGCCTATCCCTTAGGTTCATTAATTACTTTTAGTCCCCAATAACATTAATGAACTATTAAATTCCCATTAATGGCATCACAATCTTCCAACCACTTATAATAAATGAGATTTTTGGATATTAATGGTACCCAACAACCCAAGACACTAAAAATTCATTATACTAGATTTAGATATTCTAATCTACTACCGTTAACTTCATTTGAGTCAATAAATTCTGACTCATAACTTATATGGACTAAAAATCCACTTCCACTATCAAATCCTAACTGTAAAATCATAAATGTAGAAGAAATGGAGAGATTAATAAGTGTGATACTTACTTGGGTGTTTGTAGCCTCCAAAATATTTCTAATGTCATCTACAAGAAAACCCTAGCAGAGCTAAGTGCATCTCTTCCGTTCTCTCTTTTCTTTCTCTCTATTTTTTGCATTAGTTTGCGTATTAATTCTGTAGATTTCACACCGTGCACCGTGCACGTGTCACCATGTACTACGGTATGTGGTGCAGAGAAGAAAATTGTCACCTGATGGTCCTATGCACCGCAACATGTGGCACAGAGGCTGTTTAGCTTGTTTTTCTCTACTTTTTGGTCCTCAAGTGACCTAATTTCACTTTAGACCTAAATTATATCTAAAATTTCAACTAAAAATACTTAATATTCTCCTCTGACTACACACCACATCAACTTACTTAATTTTCATTATTAATCTTAGTAAATTAGGGAATTAAAAATCAAGATGTTACAAAATACAAAATGACCACTTTGTCATTTTTACTCATTGAAGCATCTTAATTCTAAACCAAGTGTCATTAACAACTTTTAAGACTTTGATCACATCTAATGAGACAATTATCACCTAAAGAAAAATTATATTATCAAAATCACATACATATACAAATTTGGCCATTAAACTACCCTTATACAACACAACAGGGCCTATTTTTGGTAATTTGGCATAAATTTATACAAATGGCCATAATTCACACATTTATTGCTTTCAAATACAAAAACACACATACTTGCACTGTATGTTAGTGCTCCTTATCAAAGTTCATAATACTCTCTTTCACATTCCAGGGCTAAGATACACACACAATCATACAAATGCATCAGACATTATATGTAAATGTATTCCTATGGCAACTTGTATACATAAGTATACAATTACAATAATTCAAATTCATTACACAAACTTAGAAGGACTATTAATAGTCCCACTACTCTTGGCCCGACTCTTTCCCCCTGTTGTTCCAAATGTTAGAACTTGTAAAATGATAACCACGAGATGAGATAAACATTTCAATAATCAAAATAATTTATAGCTATCTATTAGTAGGAATAAATATAACTGAGTAAACAAAACAATATTATCATTTCTATAAATAACATGTGTGTGTGTGTGTGTGTCCCTTTTCATAAAACCATTCGCATACTCGCATGATCATCCTATCCATGCAAACCTCTATATTCTTTGATTGAACCCATGGCTCTCCTAGACCAATCTTGTATACATTAATTTGAGCACACCTTCAATGTTAGAAACATCTATCCAAAGGTATTATGTCATACTTTTGGATTATGGTTTTTTCCTTTCACACACACATGATAGAAGTGTCGTTTACTCTTATCTTCACCCTCATGGGTACTAAAGAGTAGCCAGACTACTCAAATTACCACATGAAATAGTCCCAAATAATTGATGCACTGGATTGCCTCATAAGTAAACTCTCACTATCTATCATGATCATGCCATTTTTCACGCATACCATCATATGCCAATCACATATCCACACACACATATTAGTATATAATTGTCTACTTTTAAAACCACACTTGCAAACAGCTCACTATATAAGTCAAACCCATTTTTAATTCCAAAACATGCAAGTTTCAAATCATGCTAATATAACATCATAAATCATATTATCACATTTACTTATTGGTAGTTAAACTAGTTAATAAACAATGAATTATATGGTTACTTCAACCCTTCTGCTTCTAGAAAAGGATTACCCTTGGTACTTCTGCTTTATTCTCTAACAATCTCTCAAGAGAGCATGTAAATCACTTCAATCTATACAATTTAGCACTATTAAGTTAATTATCAAATTGATTAAAAGTACTAATTATCACAATTAATCGCAATTAACCACCTAATCACTTCCACATAATCCTCTTATGTTTTAATAATTCTCTTTAAGCCTTTTATCATTTTTACTAGCTTCAATACATTCTACACCTACTTTCACCCATTTAAACCACTCAATCTAAGCTAAATTGTAGCCTATAGCTTCTAAGCTTAACCATTAATTCCTAAACTAATTACAAAACTTTAATTTAATTCCCAAGAGTCTTTTTATTACCAAATGATAAGAAAATAACCATTTAAAACTCCCTAATTCAATTTATCTATATCTCAAACTAAAAGAAATTAGGATAGAATAGGGTACAAACTTACCTGGCAAGCGACAGGTTGGAACTAACTCCTAGCACTCTAAAATTTAAAGCCCTGGCAAAGACATTTCATTTCTT